ATTTGGGCTGTTTCCAAGTTTTAGCTATTACAAACTGCGCTGCTATGAACATGGGTGCACATATATCACTGTGGTATGATTCTTTTAATTCTTTGGGGAATGCTGGTGGGAGTGTAGACTGATGTAACTACTGTGGAAATCAGTATGGAGATACCTCAAAGAACTAGGACTGGAAGTCCCATTTGACCCCGCTATTCCATTACATGATGTTTCTTGGTTCTTATTTTTTCCCCATTACCTGTGACCCTCCTTTCTTCTTCCTAGTAATGCCACTTTGTTTCTGGATAATAGGACTGAACCCTGTTTCTCTCCTTTATCCACTTCCACCTCAGTCATGACACTAGTACCAATGACTGCTAACTCTAACGGAGAATGTATTATAATACAAGTGCTTGACACCAATCATGTCATTTAACTGAAAAAAAAATCTATGAACTAGGTACTACCTACTTTCCTTCATTTTAAAGAGGAAGAAGCTAAAGTTTAGAAAATGTAAAGATCAGGCTGGGGATTTAGCTCAGTGGTTCCACCAACTGCCTTGCAAGCGCAAGGACCTGAGTTAGAGCCCCCGGTACCAAAAAAACAAAAACAGAAAATGTAAAGATCATGCTGAAGGTCTCAGTAGTAAATGGTAGAGTCAGGGTGAGAAAATCTGGGTTCCCATGACTTTACAGCTACAAGTCAATAAAGCCCGCACCTGGTCAGTCCTAAAGCCCTGGGTATGGACCCCAGTTAATTGCTATCTGCAGAGACTCCTATAACTGAGTGGAGACTGAAGAGTATGTCCTCCACATCCAACTTTGCTTCCTAAGAAGACAGGACTCTGGTCCAGAGTACTTGATTATCCTCTGCTGTTTGAGAGCCACAAGATCTGAAGCAAAAGAATTCACAGAAAAAGAAACATAAATGCCTAGAAGTTATAAAATGGTAAAGCTAATTTGGCATTCTTAGAATTGGAGAATCTAATCTGAGGATTAATAGATATCTTTCTTTGACACTCCTTTGAGCCCAGACTTCACTCCTGATTACCACTTTCCTTTATGTTCCTGCTCAAAGCATGCCAATCTAAAAGGAAAGAGCTGGGGAAATAAATGACTAAAGTCAGTGACTGTGGCCACCATTAGCACATACTATAAAAAGTGGGAGAGGGAAAATAATGAAAGGGCTATCTAAAACAGGAGTTCTGTGCGAGTTGTAGATTTCTATTATTTATTCACAGAAGTGTTGTCCTGTTAGCCCACAGGGAGTTGCAAATTGACAGATAATATCATGGGGATCCTGCCAAGATTGGAGGTGATGAACTTTCTATCACTTGGTTGCTACCTGGGTAGGAATGGTACAGAGGGATTCTAGTACATAAGAGTCATCCATACTACCTTATTGGATGACCTTCTGGTCAGAAACGAAGGCAGTTTGCTATTTAAACATTCATGAAAGCTTAAAAGAAGCAAAGGGTTTTCAGAAACATTAAATTTTATAGACCTAAATAGAGATCTTCTAGCTCAAGGTTTCTCTCAATTTCAGAACTATAGACATTTTGGGCTGAATAATTCTCTGTTGAGGGAAATAAATGTATATATTGTAAGATATTTAGCAGCATCCCTAACCTCTACCTACTAGATATCATTAGCTCACTTCCATCCAATTGTGACATTGAAAAATGTTTCCAGACATTGCTATTTGTTCTCTATGGAACAAGTGGCCTCTAATTGAGAACTATTTCCTTAAAGGTGAGGAACCCAAAGTCAAAGTAGTCACTGTCTTTGAGGATAAGGACAAAATTATTGACCTGGGCCACTTGGTCACTCCTCATCTCTGGGCCTACTATTGGGTGCTCCTGCCAGCTCTGTATCCCTGGGAACAGAGCTCCAAGACAGCACTTACCACCTACAGGGATTGTGTCACACTCACCTGTGTATCCACACTGTCTGGCACAACTTGAGCACTCAGTAATGAAAGAAGACACAAATATGTGATTTTAAGCCCCCAAAAACATTAGTGAATGTAGCCTTGGAAGAAAAACAGACACAGAGTAAATTCTTCAAGGAACACCTTGCCTTGAAGAACTAATTTGTTGACTTTACCAAGGCATTTGATAATATCAGTGAGCTTAGGTTTCAGCCGAAACAGCCGTTCTGCAGGTTTGACTGCCCTAGGAAGTTCTCAAATATTCTAAGGTTACTCTGTGACAGGTTTGTCTAGTCATGTCAGAATTGCAGACAGTAGAGTGAATTCAAATTTTGGAAAAAGCCTCGCTTTCTCACCCTATTTTATGTACTGCATTTGAGAAAGTAACTGAGATCCTGAAAGCCAGCATTTAGAGACTCTGGTCTCCAGTCCTGTGAGACAGATCTGGGCTATGAGCACCTACAAGAGTCCTCCAGGAAATTCTCTTCAACCCAAACAATAGTAATAGCCAGTATAAGGACTTACCAAGTGCCAGACACCATTCTGAGTGTTTAAAACTACTGATTGGAGCAGGGTGTGATGGTGCATGCCTATAATCCCAGCACTCTGGAGGCAAAGACAGGAGGATCTCTGAGAGTTTGAGGCTAACCTGTGCTACATAGTGAGTTTAAGGTCAGCTGGACTACATAGCAAAACGTGCCTCAAAGGAAAAAAACAGAATAAACTAAAACTATTAATTTAATCTTTGATCCTTATGGGAAACCAAAGAAATAGGTGATGTTTTTGTTGTTACTGTCACTATTTTCATTTTATCGAGAAAAAATAAGATAGAGGTTAAGTAACTTACCAAGTCAAATAGCTGTTAATGGCCATAGCCATTTGTTTAACTATGTGCTGTCTTGTTTTCAACATGCTTTGGGGGGAGTCTACCATTCTAGATAACCTCTGGATTAAAAGGCTGTTTTTAGCCAGGGATTTAGCTCAGTGGTTCTGCCACGTGCCTCGAAAGCACAAGGACCCAAGTTCGATCCCTGGTACCAAAAAAAAAAAAAAAAAAAAAAATGGTGTTTTTCCCTAAATCCATCAAGTTCACAAATCTTATGGCTCACTATAAACTTCAGCTAACATACTCTTGATAGAATATGTAGTGTTAGGAAATCCAAAATCTCAGCCACTGGGGCCCCAGAGGCAACACTTTCAACTCCTGAGAGGTTAATTTCTTTCTTGATTGCCAGGAACTACCCACCCCCATAAGATTGTGTAATTCTGTGTAAACTTATAGGAAAGTTTGACAGAAAGGCTCAGTATCTTGCCTGAACACTCATAATTAATTAAAAGAATATGTATAGAGAAGTTCATGATCAGTTGAAAATGGCAAAAACAACAAAACATTGTAAGTTGAATAATAAATGTTAGGAAAAGTGATTTGTAGTCCTTAGACTAAGGCTGTGACTTTTTGGGGGGAGGAGGGGGGATGGACTTGTGAGTATTTTAGCTGGAGGAAATACAGAAACAATATCATGTATTTTTTTTAACTTTGAAATTAGGAGAGAAAAATATACAATTCATCTCTAAAACATCAACCAGTTGACAGTGCATTTGTCCCCAAGCCAGCAATCATGAGGGAAGGAAGTGGCATGCCTCCTCCATGGGAAGTTTCCATGCTAGAGAATGAGTTTTTCCAAGGTAAGTCTACATTTTCGAAGGTAAGTCTATGCATTAAAACACTTTTGGAAAACAGTTGACACTAAAGCAAAGCAAATAATTATTTCAGTTTATATTAAAGTGCTCAAAATATATCAAACCCTATATTTTATTTTTGAAGTCCTCTTGTTTATCTTATCTGAAGAGGATGCTGATAAATGCTATTAATACAAGTGTTGAAGAACCTTATGGTTAAATATAATCTAAGCAAATATTCTCAGATCAGGAGCTGATAAATATGTGGAATAATAATAATGTTTAATATTTAACTTCAGGTGTAAAGGGATATATCTTTAGGAAATAGATCCATAAAGTTTGCTTTTTTTTTTGAGACAAGGTCTTACTGTATAGTTCAGGCTGACTTGAGCTTACTATGTAGCCCAGGCTGGCCTCGAATTCATGGCAATCCTCCTGCCTCAGTTTCCTCAATATAAAATGAGAATAGTAATAGTACTATTGCTGTGAGAATACTAATGAGTTAATATATTACATGCTTAAAACTGTATCTGACATACAGAAATGTTGTATTATAGTAGTGCTAATGAGTCTTCATTTTTTCAGGAAAAATAATCTACCATAGCATATCATTTAATTGTATATACCATACATTTTTTTCCAAATCTATCCAACTTAATATGCTTATAAATTAGGTAGTAATGCTAAACTTTTGGCAGTAACTTTTTAACAGTACAACTGAAAAATTACATGTAGTTTACAGACTTGTTTCTATTACAATCTCATGAAGTAAACACAATTAAAATATTACAGCCACCTAATGACATGAAAGAAGTAGAAAGGCATAGCTTTTTAATACTTGGGCTGTCTAGTTATTCTATGATAGTTTTAATACTGTAATTAAATTATTTTTATTACTAGCCCATGTCTTACAAAAACTCAATGTACTTCAGATGCCCTAGAGGAAACTGAATATAGTTTGTTGTTAAGAAAAGATACAGCTTTATGCCCTAAAGATATTATGAAAGATTTACTTTAAAATGTTTGATTTGAGAGCTGGGGGATATAGTTCAGTGGTAGAGCACTTGTCTAGCATGCAGAAGGCTCTAGGTTTTATCTTCAGCACCTCAAAAAAAAGTTTAATTTGGAAAAGCATCAGAAAGGTCCTGAGTTTGATTCTCATTACTGGAAAAAAAAAAAAAAGAAACTTGTATTACAGTGCTGTACAAGTTTGACTATTTTTAAAACATAAGCAAAATTAATGTCATATTTATAATATGGTCAAAATAAAATTACATATCATTATTTTTCTTGAGTTGGCTTTCCACAACTCAAATTATTATTGAACTGTAAAATTGTATCTAAGAAATTGATTCATATTCTCCTTTAGTTTTAGATGATTTGGATAGCACACTGGCTCGGGAACAATTTGCAAGCTCAGTGAATACCAGCATGCCCCACAACTATGAATCAAGAACACAGTTCAGTCATTCTTACTCCACTGGGAACAGGCATGGTAATATCACTGGAAGGCATAAAAATCGCTATAATGAAACTTCCAAAATGTCAATTTATGACATCCTCAGACCAGGAACTCCTAGGGAAGGTTTTAAAACCTTTTCTCCTCGAACGATGACAATTTATGATATGTACAGGACAAGGGAGCCCAGAGTCTTAAAAGAAGATTATGCACAAAAGAATACTTTTGGCAGTACTTCTTTGTGTTTTGACAGCAGGCAACGATCAGCCTCAGCAGCCACAAGGCATTTCACAGCAAGAAGCTTACATTTTCCAGCTGCAACTCAGAGCAAGAGTAGATTTATACCACCAAGCTACCAGCACAGCCCAAAGAGAACTCCATTATCATCCATCATCTGGAATAGATCAGATTCTTCTAGAGATAGGCAGAACCAGGAAGAGTTTCTGAGGGCACCATTGCCAATGGAAATTGACTCTGCAGACCAGTGTGTGAACCCCAGGTATTTTCAAGGAAATAGTAGATATGAATTGTACAATTCACAAAATGTTTACCAAAGTGTTCATATAAATGCTCCCATGGATAATGCAGTGAATTCTGACACTTTTGAGAACTCAGAGAATATGCCATTCTATCATCAAGACAACCCATTTGCTAGCTCTTTCTTTAGTAGAACCTTTAGACAAAGCAGAGAACAGCAGTTTGGACAAAGTTCTTTCTGGGGTCATCAGGAAGAACATTTTTCTTGGTCTGACTTTCATCAAAGCAGAAAGCCATTCATTTATTCTGACAGAGACTTTGAAATGATTTCCATTGAAGCAAATAGAGCACCCGCTGCTCATGGCCACAGAGTCCCTTTTCAACACTCGGAGCCATTTTCTCCTGGTTATAGAACAAATGTTTTCAGGGAGCAAGAAGAGCCACATCCCTTGCAGTCTGACTTTCATACACCCCCATTGGGGAGCATGGAGATATCACACATTGCAAACCAATTGACTCCTCATATTGACACACAAAATATTTGCTCCATGATTGGTTCAAGCTATCACATCAAATCTAGTGGTTTAGAGTACCAACAAGATAGTTCTCCTATAGAAATACATATAAACAAAGAACCTTATTCATCAAGACTTGCTCAGACTCTAGAATCCTCATCCAGAGCTTCCTTCCCCCAGATTCCTGATGACAAAGGGAATTCTCAGAGTCCCACTTCTCTGAATTCCCCAATCACTTTGCAGAAAGCTATTCCCAACAAACCAGATTCCTTGCCAGTAGGAAGCCATACAGAAGTTACTATGACCTATAGCAATTCAACTGATCCTCCACCTGTTGCTGAAACCCAGCTCAATACCTTGGTCACGGAAATGAATAATGAGAAAGACTCAACTGAATCTATTTTAGAAGACAAACAGCTAAACAAGATGGACCAGACAGACCTGACAGGTGAAATACCTGAACCTGTTTCACAGACTGACAGACAGACAGACCCTTTACCTGATTTTCAAAATCCCTTCTCCCAAGACCCAACCAAAAACGACAAGTTTAATTTTAATGCATCTACCACAGTAAGTTCAAAGGGGTCACTGAAAGGCTTTTCCAGGAAGGACACCTCCAAAATGTGTATCTCGTACAGAGATAAACCCAATGAACTTAAAAAAAATAAGAGTTTTCCTGGGAACAGGAAACTTAATTCAGCAGCTTCCCTTCTTTTCACTCAGAAAAGCAGAATATCACCATCTTTCCCCAGCCCAGATCGAAGTTGTCACCAGGAATTAACAGTAAGTAATGAAGATCTTTCAGACATTGTTAAAAATAACTCCTGGCACTCTGAACCTCTGGACAATCAAAATACAGAATTTCCAGAGGAGGCAGCTAATTTAGGTCCTGAAGGAGAACAAAGTTCCACAACTCATTCTACCAACTGCAACAAACTGGTTGCCAGGCACACTATCCCATGTGATTCTCTAGATCTATCAAGAATACCACCAGATTCCTCACTATCAAATGATGCTTTCTTTGATGCTTTTGTGATTCCTTCCACCACAGTGTTCTCTGGGAGAAGCCCATCAGACAAAGATCCATCTTTAGGAGAAAGAGAAGAAAAATATAATGCTAGCAAGAACCAAAATAATCAATTTGCTACAAGCTCCTTAGAAAGCCAAAAGAGTAATGATAGTCATATACCTATAAATGATGACGTTCATGATGTCATCACATGCCATTCCTACTCTCCTTTCAAAAGTGGAAGGGGAAAAGGAAGAATAAGACGTCACATATCTTATATTGAAAAGTTAACCAGAATGGATAGTACATCAGTACCCACAACTGAAGGCAGTAGCCTCATTGAGGAGAATCAAAGCAAATCCAAACCTTCTGAACTTAACACAATTTATTGTACCTTGCCAAGAAAATCACCCAGTTGTCTCATAAGTGGCAGGCAGCCAGGAATTAAGATAAAGGCTTCTTCAATTAGGAATGGGCCACCTCCATTCCAAATCAAAAATAACATGGATGATCTAGTTGAAAAGTACATATCAAATGAATTCAGTCCCACTTCTCCTGAGTCAATGAGTAAATGTTCCAAAGTTGTTTCAGATTCAGCCTCGGTCGCATCTAAAGCCACATCGACGATGACAAGTGTCAAAGTTGTTAGACCTACTTCTGTTAGGAAAGGACCTCTACCATTCCTCATCCAGAGAGCTAAGTCATGTCCTTTAGGAGAGCCATGGGCCTCATCTGGAAGAGAAGACAGAAAAAAATCACTGGTCTCAGACACAGATGCTTCTGTTGTGACACTGAAGCCTTGGGAAAGAATCATTAACCCTCTGGAAAGTAACTCATCTATTAGAGATGGCCAAAAGGAATTCTCTCAAGAATGCACTGAACAGGATGGTGAAATTGCTGCCTCTGGGACAAGTGTAGCTACTCTTTCAGATGAAGACCCTTTACCGTTTTGTGCAGAGGTGTCAGAAAAAGAAAGCAGGAAAACATTACATAAATTTAAGACTACTAGTATGTTTTCTGTTTCTGGTGATGAAGATAATGTAAAGTGTCTCGAGGTGGTTTCAATATATTATACACTACCAAGGAAACCTAGCAAAAAATTTTGTGACCTCCTTCAACAATATACACAAAATACCAATTCACTTAGAGAATCACTTCAGGCAGACACTGAAACATTTCCTAATGCTTTAGAAGAAGACAAAGTAAATTATTCTACACAAGAGCAGTCAGGAACATCTTCATCCGAAGATCTAAAAATACTGGTCAGCTCTACTCAGTCTTGTCTTTCTCACACCACTGAAAATATGGCTGTTTTACAGTCACCAAATAGGGGGTCCTCAGGGCCTTCATTACAGGAAATGACTTGTGTTTCCCTTCATAAAGGAGAATCTAAGACCAGAGAGCTTTCTTCACATAACTTAGCTAAAACACCTCCAGGTATTCCACAAAGCCAGAAAGAGTGGGGAGAAACATGGAAAAGTGAAGCCCTACATGCCTCATTAATGCTTCAGGATAAAAGTGCCACAGAAGAAAAATCTAAAGATTGTCAACAATCTGTAAATGCAGGAAATAGTTGTCTCTTGGGTCTTCCAGCCCATTCTAAAGATAATAATGAAAATTCACAAACTGGAAGAAGTTCTGGCGAGTATGTAGGTAGTGGTACAGGCATTATATCTACTGAAAGTAGAAATTGGCCTCAGAAAGATCACACAGCCATAACTATACATGATAACTCCAGTGGATCACAGCCTATGGAAGTCAGAACTGGAACAGAGTGCCAAAAAATGATTGACAAAATTCTTTCTGACTCAGAAAGCCAAGCCATTGTTCCCCCTCCAGCACTGCATAAACTACAGTTTGTTGACAAGACTCAATCAGGTGAACCAGCTTTAGAAAGTTTACAGTCTGAACCCGGGAAATTACCTCAAGGAAGGCAGAAAGTAAATGTAACAGAGAGCAGGAGGGTCAAAGATGAAATGCAGAAGTTGGCATGGGATCGAACATTACATGCTGGAGGAAATAATAAACATAATACCAACTTGGATGACCTAGAAAAAGGAGAAAACAGATCTTCAGTTAAACATGGATTTTCAGCCACATCTAAAGCCAGCAGAAAATTCCCAGCTAAGGATTTAAGCCCTCGAAGACACATAGCTAGTATTTTCTCCAAAAGTGGGAGCAAATCTGACTTTGGCCGCTTATCTGTTGGCAGACAGGAAGGCAGCTCACTAGCTCCTGAACCAACTCCAAAGTCCACAGAAGCCACAGATGAAGACAGTTTGAGTAATGATAGAATGAATATGAAGGCTACTGAAATATCCAACAGAGAAACTTCTAGACACTCCTGTAATCAGAAGCCTAACAGCATTTCAAAGCTACATCAGAATGAACTCAATGTCTCAGAATCACCACCAAAGCATGAGAATTTTAAAAGTGCAACAGTAGCTGAGGAAAGAGAGTCAGGAACCCCAGCCCAGCTGACATTCACCAGCCTCAGGGAAGCAGACATCTCTGACCATCAGAGAAGGCTGAGCCCTCCTTTTCCTTTGGAGCTTCCACAGAAATCTCCATTAAGTGTCTCACTGTCCAGTTGTCAGCAGCAACAAGGGAGAGATTTGTTTCTGGAGTGGGAACATGAGCCTCACCTCTATCGATCGAAGAGTTTAAAAAGCATCAATGTGCATAGTGATCTGCCACACAAAAGTCATCCTCCCAAAGTCAGGGAGCGCCATTTTTCTGAAAGCACTTCTATTGACAATGCCCTAAGTCAACTGACCCTTGGGGGTGAACTCTCTAACAATAATGGGTACAGTCGAAGATTTAAATCTTTTTCTGAACTTCCTTCCTGTGATGAAAGTGAAAACTGGGCTTTGTATAGCAGCAAAGCAAAAACAGGTCCCAAGTCTGCATCATCTATATCCAGACCTATTGACTATGGGATTTTTGGGAAAGAACAACAGTTGGCTTTCTTGGAGAATGTAAAGCGGTCACTCACACAAGGAAGATTATGGAAACCAAGTTTTCTTAAGAACCCTGGCTTCCTAAAAGATGATGTAATTAGATCTTCCAACCCTTCAGAGTCGTTAAGCTTAAATTCTCCTAGCAGTCAGGTGCCAGAAGATAGCTTAAGTCCAAATGAGCAGCTTAATATCTATAAGGAGGACCCAGTGGACTCAGATTATGATACAGACACAACCACAGATGATGAATACTACCTGAATGAAAATGACAAAGAGTCAGAACTGTGAAGCTTTGTCAAAAGGTCCATAATGCGTTGCATTTTGTTTTTCATCAAAAGCTTATAGCAGAATCCGGGTGTGGTGGCGCACACCTATGATCCCAGCTCTCAGGAGGCTGAGGCAGGAAGATCACTGAGAGTTAGAGGCCAGCCTCGGCTATATAGTGAGTTCAGGGTCAGCATGAACCACAAAGGGAAACTCTGCCTCAAAAAACAAAACAAACCAGGGCTGGGGATTTAGCTCAGTGGTTCTGCTGCCTGCCTCGCAAGTGCAAGGTCCCGAGTTCAATCCCTGATACCAAAAAAACCAAACAAACAAAAGAAACCAAACAAACAAACAAAGCTTATAGTAGAAATAGTGTGAATTTGAATGTCTATGGGAAGACAGATTTTAAAAAGCTCTAGTACAGGTAGTATCTGCACCAAAACAACTCATTTTTTCCTCCATGCCCTATATACCCACTTCCTGAATTCTAAAAACAATGATTTTTTTGTTTTGTTTTGAGAGGTTCTCTGCTAATTTTCTCCATTTGTGTTTGCCCTTGGTCTGTCTTCTCTCCCTCCTCAAACTTTATCTCTAAGTCACTCACCAATTTTGGCTTTCCATTTTCCTCCTACTTTTTCACATTTCTTATTGTGATTTACACATATAAATTTTAATTGCCCCATACAACTACAAAAAAAAAAAAATGTAAGGACCATGACAGTGGAGTAGATATTATCATCCTGTTTGATTCATCAACATTTAGGAGGTTTAGTGGGGTGGGTTTTTTTTTCTTTCTCTCAAAAATAAAGGAATTTTCATAAGGCTATCCTGTTACACTCCTAGTTGAGCCTGGCCTGGGGTTGGAGGAGTTTTTAGAGAACATATTGAGGTTATATATGAGGGACTAAATCCCTATTATACTCGTAGAAATTCCTCTGAAACAGTTTGTGGGGAGGCACTGAATTATTAAGGGCTGAATTTTAGTCGAGCCAAGGACTTAAGCCAAGCAACCTGATGCTACAGGCAGTGCTTTGGCCATAGAATTTCCGCTTATAACAAGAATATAACTGATGGGCAGAGATAAGTACATATCTCTTCATGGAACTGACTTATGTTCACTGCTCTTCTCTTTACAACTGGCTTCCTCATTTCCCCAGAACTATCCATTTTCTCATTTTCCTTGAGGACACTTCAGGTGGGGCATTTGAGTCACAGTTATCAGATAGGAATCTTGGCTTAGTCCCTAAAATGCCAAGTCAGATCTGACATCCTGGGATTCACATGCTTCTCTGTTGAATCATTTACCAAACCCTCCAGAAATTCTACTGTCACTATGCTTTTTTTCAATAATTAATCTCCAGTAAATCACTATACCCACTGATAATTTGGCTTTACTAACTTTAGTTGCCACACAAAACATCTGGGAATTTCTCTTCCAATTCAGTATAAAAAATCAGTGGATATTAGTGAAGATAATTTACTAAAATGACAGCATGCAGTCTGGATCTCAATATTATGACAGTCCAAAAAAAATATTATGACAGTCAACATAACAGATTTTATCAATTTGATATATACTTCCTCACATAATTTTATTTCCCACTTTTATCACCAGCTCTGTTTTATCCATATAAACTAAGGACAATGATAAGTATTGGTAGTGTGTAGAGATCTGGCACCGATACAATTGCAAGAAAGAACTATTATTATTATTATTATTATTATTACTGTCCTCCTAAATAATGTCTTGCCTAGAAGCAAAATACAGGGCTAGTTTACATTGTTCCCATGAAACTCCAAACTAATGAAATGCGGTAAGTAATATGAAGATGAGGTAAACTGTTCCTTAAATCTGTCAACTCTTTTAAACTTAAAGCTCTGACTAATTTTGAGTTCCAAGACACTAACAATAGAATTGTAAATAAAGTGTTCTGAACTTTTCAATTCAAATTTGTATGTCAAAGGATACATAACATTATATTCTCTGTATAATGCATGTTTGTAATTCTGCCTTCCTCATTTGCTATTTATCTAATTATTTAAGCAAAGTTTTCATACACTATGAGGTATGTTTTCTATGTAATTTTAAGATATTTAGGGTTAACATTTTAATATTAAGATTCTGGGTTTTTTTAATGATCAGCTTGCAAATTCTATGTCAGTAAGTACTCTGAGTCTACATGTTTGCTACACATGGTGAAATGAAGTTAGCTTTTTTTTTTCAGTGAGCTGAGTTAGGCAAGTGAAGGTAAGAATGCACAGCTGCTTTGGGTCTTAGATGCTCCACCCTGGAATCTACCATCTGCATTCAAAGGTGACTGATCGATGGCCAATGCTCCTTTGCACTATTTGTAATGTTTGCTTGTTGGTGTGGCTCAAGAATCAAGAAAAGAGATAATTCATGAAAATAGCACCTTCTATAGTCTTATGCTTTTATAAAGTACTTCGTTAAAGAAGTATAAAAATTTTCTATGTATTTTAACATACAAACTGCTGCTTTTTAATGTTCATTTTTGGTATAGCTCTAGTAATTTATGTCATTTTTATATTCATGTTTTCTAAATGATATAATCATTATTAAAATAAATGTCCATGTAAATGAAGTAACATCACTAGAGAATCAATAGTATAAGTACCTAGTACATTGTTAACTTGTTTAGATATGATTAATATAACTGTAAATTTTGTACTGTTGAACTCATTTAAAATAGGGTTTAATGAGATTATTTTTATTTTTAGTGACTTCCTTCTAAATAATTTAACCTTACATTGTTAATATGATGATTTTAATAAAACCCCAACTGCTACAACAAAGGTTTGGCTAAGCTTAAAAAATAAAAACCCACTTTGTATGAAAGGTAATCATATGCCCTGGAACTGATAAAGGAAGGCCACAACAGTTATGGTGAAGGGTGGGAATCACAGGGAAACTCATATCTCTGTAAAGTAAATATCTTCTGAGGAATTTTAGAGAGTAGATGAGGCCTTACTGCAAGCATTTGTTGTTCATTATAATGCTTCAGAATGTCATATTTAATTGTACAGTGTAAATAAGTATTTTACTTTCCATGCCAATTTGTGAAACTATTCCCACTTACTGGATCTTTGTGACTGGCAATTCTGTGTTGTTTTTCTGAAATAAATAAGCCATAAATACTTTTGTTAAAAGTATCTTTTATGTAGTTGTTCTCTAGGAATGAAATGTTACAAGGTCCAAATTTAAAATAATGCTTGTGTTGAAATAAATGACTTAAACAGATGTTCTACTTGACTAAATTTTTATTCTCATCTTTGAATTTTTAAGTGTGAAAGTTCCAGGAAAAGTACAAGAGATGGGGGCAAAAGTATTCAAACCAATTTTCTGGTGGATATTGAATGAGATTTTCCATATACAGGATTTTTTTTAAATTTTTCAGTTTTTAAAGACAGAGTCTTGCTATATAGCTCAGACATGCCTTGAACTCACTATGTAACTCAGGCTGGCCTTGAACTCCTGGTGATCCTCCTGCCTCAGCCTCCCAGGTGCTATAATTACAAGTGTGTGCCATCACACCCAGCTCTTAAATTAAAAAACAAACAAACAGAAAACTGTGGCTTGTTTCTCTCTTCTTTCATTTGTGCCCCAAAAGCAAAAAACCAACATCAGAAGATCAGTACATCTGGATGCATAGTAGAAGAACTAAGAGAGCCTGATGTTTCTTTATAGGGGTTCTCACATTTACAGAGAAAAGGATTACAGGTGTGTGCCACCATGCCCAGCCTTGGTTTTGTGTGTTTGTTTTTGTTCTTGCCTATCTAGTATTAAGTGTACTGATCTTTCCTAGAAGGGCTACCCAAAGGCCTTTCTCCACAAAGACAAATCTTTTTGCCAAGTCATCATCTTGGATACAGATAGCATTTTAATCAAAATGTTTTCACTGTCCTTTACTAAAACTTAAAATACACCGAATCAGCTAGACTTTGTAGTGTGTAAGAGATAACGATATTTTTAATTGGTCCATATTTCATTTACCACTCTAGCTGAGTCAACTAGTGGTCAGGGACACACTGTAAAAAAAAGACTCACATCAGAGATAAAGTACTAGGTTTAGAGATTACTGCTAAACAGGTTTTCCTGATTTATGGTCCTGAGAATCAAAAGGCCATAAATAACTACCAGAAGGAATGCAGAGGGAAGAAGGGGCAGAATGGGAAAGTAGGTGAGGGAAGCAAAGGTTATCGGGAGATGGGGCTGGGACTCCTGCGAGCTGGGAATGAAAGCGCAGGGCTTCTCCACTCCGCTCCGGTGAGTCTGTGTAACGGCACCACTCCTGCAAGAGCGGGGATGAAGCCTTCCTCTCTCTTCCTCGTGGGTCTAATTTTTTGGGAGGTCTGCGCAAGTACATTTATTTCTCACATTGTAGTAGATAACAAGATCATCTCCAGTTGGTTCAAACAGAAAAAAAATCTTAAAGGGTATGTATCGCTGGAGGCGTGGATAGCACGGAGTCTACCGCTGGAGTCTTGTGACTCACTGCTGCCTCCATATTGTTCTCAGCCTGAACCATGGTGTAGCCATGGTGGGCTTCTGTTCTTACCGGATACTTCTCTCACAAACGCAATAGGATGGCGGAGGAGACAGATTTTGAGCAGATTGTACTCCAATTCCTGAAACTGTGCCACAGAAATGGACTTGCCAAGAGATTTTTCTCCATCACGACCAGAAAGATGCAGAATCAGGATGTCAGGTGGGTCAGCACAAGTCACACATTCATCTGTCCTGGAAGTCACTCCTATAGAAGTAAAAACACTAGTATGTATATACTTGCACATAAAAATTTTTATTGCCACAATGCTTGTGGCAAAAGCTAGAAAAAAGGGAACACTTAATAAGAAATGGCTGAATATATTATGAAATATCCACATATGTAATATTATGAAATTATTGAGAAAAATAAGATAGGCCTAAATAGGTTGATTTGGAAGAATTTCAGTGAGATGCTGTTGAAAAGCAAAGTCTCATTTTCGTAAAGCAGTAACAAAAAAAATAAAAACAAAAAAAACCTGGAACATATATGGCTACATATGAAGAGATATATACTAGGCTATTAATATTGGCTGTTTTGTAGCAGGTTAGGGATAAGTGTTATATTCTAGAACAGGAGAGAAGACAGAGAAGTAAAGACTGCTTCCCCCCCAAAGAAATATATATATATGTATGAATATACATATATAAATACATACATATATAAATACATATGTAGCTATGTGTACAATTTATTATTTGTACACCTAAGTAGAATTTATGTATTAGTGAATATACAGACCAATCATTTACAAGTTGAAATACTCTAACCTTGATTTTAATCTCCCAGGAAAAGGATTCTGATTAGTTCAGCATGAGTTGGGTCCCAAAATATGGGCCAATCAACTGTAGCCAAAGGGTAAGGCCATGTCTCACTATTAACCATGTGGATTGTGGGGAGAGAGAGAGAGACAGGGGTAGGGGGGCAGAGACACAGAGAGAGATACAGGGAGACAGAAAGAGATAGGAGAAAAGGTAGAAATGTTTTGAATGGCATGGGAAATAATAAGCTGTGAATTTTATGTGATGTTAATGTAAAGATTCCAGGGACCAGTGTAATTTATAGAAGTGTATTGAATTCCAGAGTCATACAGACAACAATTTGAGATTGGAGTTCATATAGAAATGAATGTGAAAGGGAATGAGACATTTATTAAAGTATATTATTCATGTCAAATTTTTACATGACACATCTATCTTCTCTTCACCCTCTCTCTATGCAGCTGATTCCTATTTATCTTCATGGCTCAACATGGACTTCATCACTTTCAGGAAGCTTCTTGTGCTTCCCCCAAGATTAGGTCACCTGGCTTTCATGTGTAGTATACAGAATACTCCACTTGTAATTAAAAGAGATCTGCCATGGGTCCTGACCATCCTGAACATTCTTGCTAAGCATGCCAAGAATGTAAGTCACTAATAGCTCTTCACCCAGGCCATTCTCAGAGTAATATTTGCAGCAAGCAAACTGAGTCATGAGATAACATCTCCCTACCTACATCTAGTAGGCTTAATTGTTTACTTCAAACGTGGTAAATTCCTTAAGCTCAGCATTCCCTTCTTGGAATGCAACTCACTTCAGGCATCTATGATGGACCCTTTGCATTGCCTCTATAGGATTTGGAAGGCACAGGAAACCAAGAAAGACCATGAAACTCTTGCTACTACTTTGACAGTAAATAGTAAAGTCTTTGTCTCTCTTATATTTTTTACTTTGGGTTTGATTTTTTGAGACAGGGTCTCGCTATATAGTTCATACTGACTGTGAACTCATTATGTAGCCCAGGCGGCCCTCAAACTTTCAGTGATCCTCCTGCCTCAGCTTCCTATGTGCTGGGATTACAGGCATGTGCCACCATGTCAGAGTCAGTAGGATAAGGGAGGCCCAGTCAGGCAACCTTCCCAAAGAAAAGAACACACATGGAGCAGATATCACAAAAAAGTAGGAAACAAACTTTGTTTTCCAGCACAGCACTTATAGTAGTTTTTTATCAGCTTACTGAGACACAGTAAGACAAAACATCCTGGGCGACCTTGCAGACTGCATGGCGCATTCGTGGTTGTCTATGCTGATTCATTATTCTATAATGAAGCTCCATCGTGCACCTGCACTACACAACGGGATTGTGTCCTCAGGTACCCTCAGACACCCAGGCTTTGACACATCTCACAGCATCCCCCTACACACCACACCTGGTCTGGAATCATGTTTTTTGACAACATCCATGGGACACTAAAAGGCTAAATTGTTAGCTTGTAAGAAGGATAGTCTCAAATGAATTTGACAACCCTATTTGAACACCTATACACTACATATACTGACTCTTTTTTCTCCACTAAACTACAGGCACATTGAAGTCAAAGTGTTACCAGGAAGCCAGGTCCTGCAGCAGTGAGGGACCGGGTTCTCACTTCCTTGCTCTTCAATTCTTTGTGCCTTTGATGGAAGATTTCAGTCAAGACACATAGGCTGTACAGAAGTACAGGTAGAATTTATTTTAAAGTAGATACAGAGGTATGCCTGCAAGCAAGAAGGCAGGCAGTGCCACAAAGGCATCTGCTCTGAGTTCGAGTTTGGATACATTTTTATGCACCTAAGAGTTATTCCCAAGATCTAGGGAACTGGGGTAATTATGATGCTTATCACCATTTTACTTAGAAGTTACTTAGGCACTGAAAAATGTCTTCCTATCCTTTTTAGATGGTTAATGTTTCCTCAGGGGCTTTAATCATATAAGAAATTTTAAAAAGGTAAATCCTTAAAAAAAGGTTTTTTAAAAATTTTTTAGGATCTCACTCTGTAGTTCAGGCTAGCCTTGAACTATGTAGCCCAGGCTGGCCTCAAATTCACAGTGGTCCTCCTGCCTCAGCCTCCCAAGAACTAGGATTACAGGCACACTCAACCACAACCAGTACTAAAGATAAATTCTTAATTTAAACCAGGTCCCAGCCCAAGCCAGGAGGGCCTTTAGAGTATTTCCCTTCCTGATATTGAGTTGTAGGCTATTGCAGACAGGAATGCAGTTTACCTTGTTCTGGAGTTAGAGGGGTGGTATCAGAAGGAACTGTACAATGTGTAACATTAAGATGTCATTGTGCTCTTTGGGATGCTTTGGGTTTGACACCTAACAAATGATCATAAATGTATTATACATTGGTATATTTCTATAATTAACTGGGAGTGGCTGCTATTTTGAACCCTGCTAATGTCTGCCTAACAATAGTATTTCTAAAATATACCAGAAACTGTCTAAATGTTTGTTGAATGCTGTGAACGTGGCTTAGTGATACATGTACTGAGGCTCTGGGTTCAATCCCCAATTTTAAAAAAAAAACGTTGAATGAATGAAATTTGATTAATGATAGGGGATCTAGTCAAGGTACTCATTGATCTAAAGAGATACGCTCTTTAAGGATGTATTAAGATGAGAAAGGAAAGTTGCAATAAATTCAGTATTGCTAAGTAGGGTGTTCAGATGCCATTATGTAGCTTCTTTGATTAGTTCTCAAAAAATATATAAACAAAGGTTGGGTATTATCCCAAGTTATATAATTTATTTTTATTTAATTCTATTCTTTTCAAACAAGGTCTTGCTCTGTAATTCAGCTGGTGTTGAACTCACTGTGCTGCCCAGGCTGATCTTGAACTTGTAGTGATCCTCTTGCCTCAGCCTACTGAGTGCTGCCAGTGCTGGTAGTGCTGGGATTACAGGTGTGCAGCACCATGACTGGCCCCAAGTTATATAATTGATTAGGCCATGTTTTACTATAGAAGGAAGCTAACCCTCAGATCATTTCTCTAAAAAAATTTTTTTTGGTCTGATCTTGGAAAAGTGTGAATGAAATGTGTTCTGTACTTTGTGTGTGTGTGTTTGGTACTGGGGATCGAACTCGGGACCTTGCACTTGTGAGGTAGGCGGAATCACTGAGCTAAATCCCCTACCTGTTCTGTAGAATTTTTAAAGTAATAATTGGAACAGAGCATGCAGACAACTCCAGAAAATAAAATTAATCAAGCAAAGTAATACCAAGGTTAGCCCTACAATTCACCAGTTAACTCCTGACAATCTCCCTAGAGTAGGAAGAACAATCTGTAACCTCTGCTCAGCATTTGTAAAATGGGTCAAGAGAACTGGTGAAAACGCAGGAAAAAAATCTGCACTGGTAAAACTTTGAGAAAACAAAAATGCTGAGTGAACCAATTAAAACCTTGAGATGGACCGAGGGCGGCCCAGGGCCTGGTTTTGAGCGTTTGGGTTTGAGGGTACAGAAACCTCCGTCCCGTTCTAGGGTGTGTCCCTTGGGCTCATCGGCCTCAGAAGGTTTTATTGTGTTTTAAAATAGATTCAAGCCACAAGCAGATAAGAAGAAAATAGGAATTAACCGCTGCGGATAAAATCGTCAAAAGCGAAAGGCAGGCAGCAGTTTGCAGCTCGTTAGGGAGACAGCCAGTCTCAGCCCGGGCAAAGAGGTTTCCTCCCCACGGCAGGGCCGGCAGCTCGGAGCCGCACTCCGCAGGCCCGCGGCCCAAACTCACTCCAGGCCCGGCCCAAACTCAGAGGGTGCTCAGGAAACACGTGTGGAAAGAGGGGAGCGTGGTGGGTCGGGAAAAGGAGGAGGAGTCGGGGAGACCCGGAGCGGAAAAGAGGCGAGAGCAGAGCTGGGGCGTGGACTGAACAGAGGGCTGTGAACCGCGGGAAGCGGGAGGCGAGAGGCGAGAGGCGCAGACTCGGCGAAGGGGCCGGAGGGCCGGGGCGCACCGGGCGGGAGCGGGCGGCGCGCAGAGCCCCGGCCTCCCCTCCCGAGCCCCGGGCAGGCATCATGCGCTTCCCGCCCGCGCTGTTCCTCCCGCTGCAGCTCGCGGCGCTCCTGGCCGCGGGGACCCGGGAGGCGCCGGTGAGCGCGCCGCGCAGCCTGGTGTGGGGGCCCGGGCTGCAGGCGGCCGCCGTCCTGCCCGTCCGCTATTTCTACCTGCAGGCGGTCAGCGCGCAGGGCCAGAACCTCACTCGCTCGGCCCCAGGTAGCGTCCGGCCGCGAGCCCCCCTCGCCCCGCCGCCCCGCGGCCTGCGCTGCACCCCCTTGGGACGGTGGGGCCCTTTCTTCTCTCTCCTTTTCTCTCCTCATGCCGAACCCGGTGTAGAGAGGGATTCACCCTAAAAGCCAGGCGTGGTGGCGCGAGCCCCTCATCCCACTACTTGGGAGGCTGAGGCAGGAGGATCGCCGCGGGTTCGAGGCCAGACCGGACTACTTAGGGAATTCAAAGGCCAGCCTCGACTACCTGAGAGACCCTGTCTCAAAACAAAACAAAACAAAACCAAACAAAACCAATTGAATGAATGAATGACTGCAGGGGCACTTCCGCGTTTCAAGAGCAGGGACTGACGTTAGGAGGAGGGGCGCCCGGGGTGTGAGGAAGAATGCGGTGTGAGTCTTGTGTTAGAGGATGGTCCTTCCCCCTCCGACCCAGAGGTCTGAAGGGTGAGGGCAGCAGAGAGTGCCTTTGCGGCTGGAGTGGTCTCGGATTTCAGGGCTGGTGAAACTTTGGGCTCCTACCCAAAGGAGATGTCTGGGGGCTGGGGAGAGAGGCAGTTTTTCGAGCTATTTCATTTTCTTTCTAGTTTTGAGTTCTTGAAAGCAGATTAAAGGGATTAATGAATTTTAGTAGAAATCATTTGACGTTTTCTCTGCTGAGGATGATCTTAGCCTGAATCTCTTTCTGATGGGTATTCCTACCACCTTCTCCACATTTTACTTTTGCAACTTCTTAGTAACTTGCCCTGCTGGTTTTAAATTGTTGCCAGTCAGGATCTGCTAATTTATATCAAAGTTTAGGGCTCCTGAGAAACAATCGGAATAACCCAGGGCCTGGTTCTCAGCTAGCACAAGTAGAAACTGCACTTACCTTCGGAAAGTGGGCCTGGGGACATGGAGGTCTGGGGAGGGTGGGGAAGGGGAGTTACTACCCAAAGTGAGGGATTTTAAGGGTGTAATTTGAATTTAAATTTTCTTTTTAAATTCACTCATCCAACAAATACTTGCTGTTTACTTAACTATGTTTGGTAAGCTTGCTGGAGATATAAAGCAGTGCCAGCCCATCAGGGAATTTACAACTTGTTGGGCAAACAGATATACAAATAACTACGCATCACTGTACAACATAACTGCTACGAGGAAGGTAGAGTGCAGGCAAAACACTGGAGAGCTACCATAATCGGCCAAGGACACCAGGAAGATGGCAGGGGTAGAAATCTGAAGGATGAGAGGGTTTGCTGGCAGGCAAGCAGATGGCTTGTGCAGTCGCCCAGAGACAGAAGAATGCGGGTTCAGGAAAATAAATTTAAAGATGCCAAGCAGAAAGAGGGAGTCAGGTTGTATCCAGGAATCTTCAAGGGCCTTGAATGCCAAGCAAAGGATTTTTAGAAATAAAAGAGAGCCATTGGAGAATTTTGAGCTGAGGTGTGACAAGAATCTGCCTCTCAACTACTCTTAACTACTTCGGTGACTTTTGTTTTTATTTTTTCAGAGACAGGTTCTCACTATGTAGTCTAGGCTGGCTTTGAACTCAAGATCCTCCTGACTCAACCTCCCAGACTGCTCAGATTACAGGCCTAGGCTACCATTAAGTGGCAGTACTCAGAGCTCTGAGGGGAACCAGGAGACACCATCAAATAGTCACTTTCATCTTGTGCTTGTTAGAGAACAAATTGTTAAAATGTTCCAAGAAAATAATTTTTCTGTAGCAGTTGGAGAAAATAATCCAAATATGGTCAAAGACTTATGTCCAAGGATACTCCCACAGCACTATAATTAGTTACTATAATTATGATAATAGCCAACCATAAGATAATTGCTAAAGTATGGTGCATTCATGTAATGGAATGTTTGACAGCCTTTAAAAGTAACCTTTAGCTGGACATGGTGACCCACGCCTGTAATCCTAGCACTTGGAATGCTGAGGCAGGAGGATCACTGCAAGTTTGAAGCCAGCCTAGGCTACATAGTGAGTTCAAGACCAGCCTGAATCACATAGTGAGACCATTTCAAAAAATAGAAGAACCTTTTAGATTCCACTTATATAAGTTATCCAAAGTAGTCAAGTTTGCAGAAACCAGTAGAATAATTATTGTTGGGAGAAGGGGAAAATGTAAGTTGTTGAATGGGTGTGGAGTTTCAGTTTTGCAAGGTGAAATGGTCAGTAGATCCCTTGTACAACAATGTGAATATACTTAACACTCTGAACCATATACATACTTAAAAACAGGATCGGGCTTGGAATATAGCTCAGTGGTAAAATGTTTGCCCAGCACATCCACAACAGTAGGTTTGGTCCCCAGCAAGGAGAAAAAGTTAGGATAGTAAACTTTATATTATGTTATTTTTTTTACTTTCAAATGTTTAAAGTAATGTAACATTTTAAAAGATTGTTTAATGTTTCTCTTAGGTTAAGGGAACACTACAGGCAGTACAGCAACGTGTTCTGATGCAGGAATGCTGGTGTATCTGTGAGGTGGGTTACAGGGAAGCAGCCAATCAGCAGCAAGGAGAATTGAATAACACTCTGGGATTGGCTACTTGCAAACCTCCCGCCAAAAAATTGCAGAAGATATTTCCGTTTCTGCAAAATTGGGAGGGTTTCCATGAACAAGTATTAGTTAGGTTCTAAGGAAAAATCCATGAATGACTGACGCCGACTTCAAGGGGGTTTACTGTATACAATTCAGGTACTCGGCCACTATTTCTAATACTGCCATATCAGATTATATTACCTTTTATAACATCCACTGTTTTTTATTATGGTTCATTTATTTGAGCAGATTTCTTTATAATTTTATCACACTTGTTTGAAGGATCCTAAAATATATGAGTTTTTTATTTAATTACTTAATTGTAAAGTGTCAGATGCTCCACGCATTATTTTAACTAAACTGAAGAGACTGAGAAACATTTCTCTTGACCTACAAGAAAAGATAAAACCCTTGATCAACAGAATCTTCACTAGATTGAGAAACTAAAAATAGAAGAAATAAGTTTTAAAAAAAAATTTAAATATATATCTTAAATATGCTTAATTTCATAATAGTATAGATGTAAGATGAAAGACAATTTTGGTCACAACTTACTGTTTGCTAGGGCTGTGGATTTCAGAGGACTCACCACTCTTTTAACATTTCCTTTTGATATGGTGATCTCAATGGTAAATCTTCCATACTCTGAGGCTCTAACGCTTATTCCCATACTATGGCAACATTAATCAGCACAGTATTGTTTCTAAGTCTACAATCAGCTAATAGAAAAAGGAAAGTTTGTTAAGTAAGTATACTTACCTAGAACAGAAAACCCACAGAGTTTTGGAGTTAGAAGGTATCATTATAATGTAATTTTCACTTCAAACTGAGAAAATAGAATCTGAGAAGTTAACTTTAGTATTTACAAAGATGTATATATAAGTGTGTGTGTGTTGTGTGTGTGTGGGTGTATTTGTGCACAGTTTTAGTAACTAGGTATAATCTCTATCTAAGGAAATGGGCTTAGAAGAAGCACTTGGAATTTGGGTTAAAAAGAGAAATTTTCTTAGAAATGAGGATTATTTGGGGCCGGTGGATTTAGCTCAGTGGCACCACGCCTGCCTCACAAGCACAAAGTCCTGAGTTCAATCCCTGGTACAGAAAAAAAAAAAGAGGATTATTTGATACCCAAGTATAAAATATAAAGAACACATATAATTTACAAGGAGAAAATTGAATTACCATACAAGTCTCTCATTCTTAGAGTTCTTGACTTTTTCACTGCCTAAGCTTTAATAGTGTTTAAGGAAGAAAAGATCAAATAGCCAAAAAAGTTCATTTCTTCTTTGCCTTTTTTATTATTTGATTTTGTTCATTCAATAAATCTTTATTGCATGACTAATTAATCAAATGTGAAGTCAGATCATTGGTTTGAAGACATAAGCCAGGCATAGTTCCAAGGTTTATCATTGATGCTGCAGGACAAAGTAAATCCTATATAGAGGCATCTGTCCAATAATTAAGGCATAATAATTGGAAGTGGTAGAGTTATTTGTATTTCTTTCTCTTTCAGGTCAAACACTATTCAAAGTACTAGTCAAATCTCTTTCACCTAAAGAGGTAGTCCGGATTCATGTCCCTAAACCTTTGGACAGGAATGATGGGACATTTTTGGTGCGATATAGACTATATGACACTGTCCACAAAGGCCTGAAGATAGAGGTCCTTTATGGTGATGAACATGTGGCACAGTCTCCCTATATTTTGAAAGGTAAGTGATTATTAATAATCCAGAGCTGGCCTTGCATGTAGGTCTCATGCCTTTCAGAATGGGTTGTCTTGACCCCGAAGTCATGTTCAACAGAGTAAACACTGTATACATACTCCCTGGTGTTCAATCTAGTTAAAATTTTAAGCATGCGTGATCTGTCTGCTTCCCCTTCCCTAGGACCAGTGTACCATGAGTACTGTGAGTGTCCACAACAGGATCCTCAAGCCTGGCAGAAAACTCTTTCTTGTCAAACCAACGAGCCACAGATTGAAGAAGATTTCACTTCCTTCCCCAGCATCAACCTCCAGCAGATGCTAAATGAAGTTCCCAAAAGATTTGGGGATGAGAGGGGTGCCATTGTCCATTACACGATTCTCAATAACCACATTTACCGGAGATCTTTAGGGAAATATACAGACTTCAGAATGTTCTCTGATGAGATATTGCTGTCACTGGCAAGAAAGGTATGAAAATGATTGACTTATTTCTAAAACACTATAATTTAATCATTTTGTTGTAACATTTAAGTGGTTAGAATTATAAAGGCAAAGGATGAAAATGGATTTCAGGCTTCCATGTGTGCCACCTGAGTGTTCTAAATTCTCTATATCTGAGGATCTTCTACCTTTCTTCTTCCTGTAAGATTTAAACTAAAGGTGGGCCAGGGATTTAGCTCAGTGGCACTGTGCCTGCCTTGCAAGTGCAAGGTCCTGAGTTTGATCCCTGGCACAACCCCCTCCCCCAAAAAAAGATTTAAACTAAAGGGCTTGAGCCCCATCCCAGGTGAATAGGCTACACAGGGCAAGGCCATGGTTTCTGAGAACTCCCAGCTGTTTACAGCCTCTAGGTAACTTCTGTACATTCTCTGTTCCACAGGACTCCCTCACCTTCTGCAGCTGTTTCCTTCTCTTTACTTCAAAATGACTTGAATTTGGAACATATTTTTCGGCTTTTACCATAGACATCATTAGAAGAGAGTGTGTATGCACAATTTGTCGAAGGCTGGAGTAATAGAGATTATTTTGTATCAGTGCACACTGAGAAACAAAAACCCTAACACTTAAAAGTAGACCTCCAGAGCCGAGGATTTAGCTCAGTGGCGCCCCCGCCTGCTTTGCAAGCGCAAGGTCCCGAGTTCAATCCCTGGTACCAAAAAAAAAAAAAAAAAGAAGGTAAACCTCCCTGTACTGAGACTGCTCACTCATCCTTGTGTCTGGGAATTTCTCACTGGTGGTCCCTGATCTTCAGATCTTGGCCTCTTACTAAATGTGGTTGGACCCCTGTCTTCAAACCCTCCATATTCACCAACAGCCTTCTGTTAACCTGCTATTCAGCCCCTCTTTCCACATTTGCAGAATTCTGAATTCCTCTTAAGCAGAGCAATTTTGTTCTTTCTTGTTCCTGATCATGTAGGGTAAAGAGTAGAGGTAGGCAGTTTTTATCACTCTCATCTAAAGAGACCATAGAGGTAGTTTTCTAAACCAAAACCAGCTGTCCTGATAAACAGCTTCCCAAGTGTGCTGGTGTGGCTGCCATCACTTCTTACTTTCAACAGCAGTCGCTTTTCCCTTACCCCTAGCCAACCATGCGAGCATATGAGAACATTGTGGGTTTTTGATCCTAAATGCACTGCTCTCTTCCCAGTTACACCAAGAATCATGCCTCTGTCCCTGTATCTTGTGCTTGTGTTACTATCTCTGTAGCTCTATAGAAATAATTTTCTTGTTTGTTTTTTTTGGTCTGTGTGTGTGTGTGTGTGTGTGTGTGTGTGATTCTGGGGATTGAACCCAGGACCTTTGCACTGAGCTATTTCCCCACACATTTTTTTATTTTTTAATTTGAGACGGGGTTCTACTAAGTCACTAATTTGTGTAGGCTGGGTTTGAACTTGTGATTCTCCTTCCTCAGCCTCCTGAGTGTTGGAATTACAGGCACACACCACCACGCCCTGCTTCTTCTTACTGTTTTTAAATGGTCAGGTCTATCACAAGTATTTAGAAAGCCCAGAACTGTAATACTTAGTACCAAAGACTGAGGTCCTCTCAGCACCAATGTCTGGACTTGTGTTTACTTAGGTTCATCTCCCAGATTTAGAATTTTATATTAATCTTGGAGATTGGCCCTTGGAGCATCGAAAAGTCAATGAAACCCCCGGACCTATACCTATCATTTCCTGGTGTGGCTCTCTGGATTCAAGAGATGTTATCCTTCCAACGTATGATATCACTCACTCTACGCTTGAAGCAATGAGGGGTGTTACTAATGATCTTCTCTCTGTTCAGGGAAATACAGGTAAATTAGGGTTACTCTCCAAGAACAAAATATAAAAGTAAAAAAAGGTGAAAAGAATGTTCAGTCAAAGAGAATAAATATTTAAATACCTATTCTTACTTTCTTGGGTTTGTTTTTTTTTTGTACCAGGGATCGAACTCAAGACCCTGCACTTGCAAGGCAGGCAGCAGAACCACTGAGCCAAACCCCCAGCCCTATTCTTACTTTCTAACCAAGAAAAAAAAAATAGCACCTCTGGGACTGGGGATGTAACTCAGTATTAAATTGCTTACCTAGTGCCAGAAAAAAAAAAAAAACTTAGTCAAAGTGGTTTGTTTAGGATTCTTCCAATCCAGAAATGAAAGATACATTGGTTAGGCTAACAGTACCCAAATCTACCTTTATTGAGTTGCCTTTGAGAAATAAAAGGTATTTGTAAATACCTTTTAAAAATAATGTATTTGGTAAAGTTGTCAGTAAATTCTGACTCTAAGGCCTTTAAATCACTGAATGAAATGAAAATTTTAAAAAGTGTAAAAGTTTAGGCAAGTATAAGAGGATTTTCATAATAAAATAATTTGGATATTACATCCTCCAGTATTTTGTAAAGAATTACCCCCTTTGGGCCAGAGATTTAGCTCAGTGGTTTCGCCACCTGCTGCGAAAGCGCAGGGACCCAAGTTCGAACCCTGGTACCAGAAAAAACAACAACAACAACAACAAAAACCAAAAAGAATTACTCCCTTTCCTTTTTCTGTCTTTCTGGATCCTTTAAAAAATTTAAATTGTTTTCCACTGCTTAGATTTATGGCACAGTATGCCCTTTTTTCAAACAAACTCCTTGAGTTGAACAAAATCTTGCCTTGTCTTTCTTTCTGTTTAGTGGACTTTTTTGACAGATAAGATCAGAGACTTGTAAAACTATAAAAAGTAATAATGTAGCACGATACTGGCTAACTTTTAACTTAATAACAGTGAATTTCTGAAAACATGCTAAAATAGTAGAGATTGATCCCTTCCAGTTTCTACATTTTATGATTTTTTTTTCTCTCAGAACTCTGACAGGTGTTAACCAATGACTTCTCTGTTTAGAATAAAAGTAATAGATTAAATTAATTCTTCCAGAATATTCCCTTCCCCCAAAGAGAAAATATAAAGAATATGCATATAGTTGAGTTATATATTTACATTAACAGCATATTAGAAAAAATGTTTTCCCTGTGCTCAAAATTCTGAGCCACCTGAGTATTAAAGATTACTCGATTATGCAGTTCTTTTCTGGTCACTTTGTCTAAGAACAAAAGTCTAGCTCATTTTTGATTGTGAAAACAAAGAAGAAGAAGCTGTTGTACTGGTGAGCAAGGCAAATCATTGAATCTCTTTTTGCTTTGAACTTGGCCCATTATTATTTTGGGTATTTCCTAGTGTTACACAATAGAAAACAATAATACTTGTGTGAATTCTTATTAGTAGACAAATAGGTGGAGTTGGAAGATTCTGTAATACAGCAAATAGAAGTATATTTGAAAGTATAAACTTGAAAGCATCATTGGAAAATTAAGCCTTGATCCCATGTTTTTTTGGAAAAAGCATCTCCTTTGTAAGATGAATTGATGAAAAATATTAATTTCTTACATGACAATGGTGGATTAAGAAAGATTATTATACTTACCATATAAAAATGTCAAATTCATCATCATAATTTTTATGGCCTTAACTTCTAGGGCCTCCCTGGAGTAATAAAACAGAGAAAGCTTTCTTCAGAGGTAGAGATAGTCGGGAAGAGAGGCTGGAATTGGTACAGATGTCAAAAGAAAACCCACAGCTACTAGATGCAGGAATTACAGGATATTTCTTTTTCCAAGAGAAAGAAAAAGAACTTGGAAAAGCCAAGTTGATGGGCTTTTTTGATTTCTTTAAGGTATGTATTGGAGCCTTGCTCTATGGCTGTGAAATGTAAATGTGTATCACAAGTCTACCACATACATGGGGTTAGCCAGATTTCTTCTGTCTGAACTGACAGACACCATCACACTTTCTTATCAGACCCAGGGAATTATACAAAGCCTTGTGGCTTTTTTTGTTGTTATTAACTTTGTCCATCAAATACCTCAGAACTACTATATATTTAATGGTCATAATATAGTAAAAGGGTTGACATGAGATTTGGGTGTATTTGTTTCTCCTTTTTTTATATTTGTTTAATATACTAGGAATATAAATGTCTTTCATGTGCACGTGTGTAGCATGCACAAGGCCCTGGGTTCAATCCCCAGCTTTACAGTCAGTCAACAGCCAGTACCAGAGCTAGAAACATCCTGTTTACCTCAGGCTGTTACAATGAAAAGAACCAGAGATTGGGACTCACAGTAGAGATTTATAAATTTCTCTGAACACTAGTTTCTCACTTGTAAAAAAAATGCCTGCTTCACATTATTATACCTGGATGAGGTTTAATGTCTATGAAAAGTGCTTTTGAAATGGAAATCAAAGCACCTACTTCTGCAGTTTTCTGTTTCCTCAATTCTAAAACTGTATAATAATGCTTTCCTGTTTCATAGGTCAAGTATAAGGAACAAATGAAATAATGTATAGATGAAAGTGTAAATTGTTATCAATATTCAGCTTTAATGAACACAGAACTTTTGAAAATAGTGTTAAGAACTAGTTACAGAAATCTATATTCCCCATTACATAGATGTAATTGAAATAGGTATTCGTTTCTGTTTACTAAAATTATCATCTTTAGATGCATTGTATTTCTTAAAATTGATTTGTTATAGGCTGCTTATGATTTTAATACAAAGAGAAAAGTAAGTTACAAAATAAAACTTTTAAACACCAGAATTTGAAAAATGGAAAACAATTCCTCTATATTTAGTTTTACAGTGTTAATGAGAAGCAGAAGTGAAACAAAAGATTGTGAAAAGCTTTTCTATTTATTTATGTTTTCTGTTTTTAATCTTTCAGTACAAGTACCAGGTGAATGTGGATGGGACTGTGGCTGCATATAGGTTTCCATATCTCTTGCTTGGGGACAGCCTGGTTCTGAAGCAGGATTCTCCATATTATGAACATTTCTACAGAGCACTAATTCCTTGGAAACACTATGTTCCAATTAAAAGAAATCTTAGTGACTTACTAGAGAAAGTTAAATGGGCCAGAGTAAGTTTCCTGCAGTTTTTGTTTCTTTAGGCAATAATAGATTCATCAGTATTGGTAACCTGAATTTTGTCACAACACAATTTAATTTAACATAATGGGATCAAAAGAAATGTGATTTTCTGAAATTTTTATTCTTTTGAAATATCTAAAGAATCAACATTAGAATCATTTTGTATGCCCTCTGGCAACATTTTTGGACTTTTGAATTTGAAGTTCACTATTACATAGAATATAGATTTTTCTAGATGAATCACTATTTGTGCTTATGTGCACAAAACAAGAACACACAAACTGCAAATCACATATTGAAAAGGCCAGTTAGAGGGCTTTATGGATAAGAAAATGTTTAAGGTAATTATGGTAGTCTAGTTTTCTTCACATAGATAAAAGGTACAAGTTCTTAACCCATGCATACTTTACAACATCTCAAGAATTAAGTGTTGCCCATAAAATAGGAATTCCTTTCTTAAAAGGAGCAGCATTTAAAAGCTTTTGTTGTTTTATTATAAAACTATAAAAGTTTACTGCTCTATCATAAGACTTTATTTCTGAGTGTCTGAGAAGCAATATTTGGTTTTGGAAATAACTGAGTAGAATCACTTTTGTGACCCTTCATGAGAACCACAATTGGTAGCAAATAAATGGCTTTTCCTATTGGCAGTATGGTAGAAAATTAACTAGTTTCTGAAAGTATTATTAGGAACACTGACTTATTTCTGGTACTAAAGAAACAATCTATGAGTACTAATGAGTAATGTTTTTCTATTACGATGACAATAATCTTTCATAGCTACCACTTTACAACAAAAGTTTTTGGCTCTGACTATATATATATA